AATACCGTAAAATTCCGAAAATAAGCCCCGGGGCTTATACTTTTCAAAGGCCCTTTTTGAGGGGCTTATTTTTGGAGAGGCTTATATTCGGAGGGGCATATGTACGAAAGGAAATTTGCGTTTAAAAATCGATTGGGCTAGCTTTATTTAAGGAAGGAAATTTACCGGTTTTCTTTGTTTTACTTTGTATTTTAGGGCAATTTCAGGGCATTTAACGGATAGTTTTTTGTGTTACCGGTTTGGGAGGGGGCGGGGGGGGGGCTTATATTTGGAGGGTCTTACACATGGAGGGGCTTATTTTCCGAATTTTACGGTAATTAATTTTTATTAGTTGTTTCCAATTTTTAAGGAAAAAGCCTAGGGGATGTAGTTTTTACAAAGAACAAAGGTAAACATTATGCATCGCCATTCTAAATACAGGATATGTCTGCCATCAGGCGGTCTTTCTATTCAAATTCTCGTTGGCGCTATTCTTTTTCTGAATCAAAATAATCATTGTATTTGACGCCTTCTTAGCTACTGCCTATTACTGAAACAATTACCGTTAATGTAGTTATCCGGCTGATGACGACTGTTCTACGCAAATTTTACATTTAACCTCGAAAATAAGCAAATACTACATAATATTTTGAATTTTATTTCGGGAACACAGTTTCCGCTTTTACGCTTCAATAAAATGGGATGTCTTGACTAATAGTTATGAAAAAAATAAGTGATTAAAACTACTGAAATCGAAAGCTCGTATTAAAAACAACCGATCGACCGATCCATTAAATACCTGGATTAAATTACAGATATTGCTTTTAGGTGCTTTTAAGTAGTGCTATTTTCTCACACTATTGCGGCAAGTAAATAATGCTAAGTGTATGCATTGCAAACATTATAGAATAAATTTGAAGTCCCTTCCAGGTCACCGTTTATTTACAACCATGACAATTTCAAACAATGGCGTCATTTAAATGACGATAAGCAACGGAGGGAAACTATTGATTGCTCACGGATCGTTGACTTTACTCATTAGAAAACGGTTTTCGTTTTTATGATTGAAAGCTTCGATGTGTTTTGGAGATGATGTCGAGATCGTGACGGTTCGCGCAAAGTCGTTAAATGTTCTACAACCAAGTGAAATGTACATGTAGCCTGCTGAAAGGTATTTATTTCAGGATTCATTTTTTGCCTTTCAGTATATAGCTACTTCATTCTAAGTTTGACTATACAGATTCTCTTCTTGAGGATATTTTTATGGTAAGGAAAAGAAAATGGCAATATCATTTTAATCATAATTCTTCACACAGATGCTGGATTTAAATTGGGATGCGCGTAATGGTAAAGTTTAGTTCGTCCAGTTAAGGTTAATACTCTAAAACGATCCCAATTTTAGCCGATTGCTATTTTTTTTTTTTTTAAATTCTGCGTGGTGAAGCCGCATTTTCTTTTGTCGACTTTTAGCCAAGTCGGAGGCACAATATTTGGGTAGATAATTTGCATAATTTTAGACTGCTTGGTTGCGGCCTATGAGTCGGTTGCTATGGTATGTTCAGTATAAAGCAATTATTTTTTTGTTATTCCGAAACTTTCATACCTAAAAAAGAAGAGGTGACTTTAGCGTTAAATGAAAAACTATGAGAAATAAAAAAAAATATATTAAATAAATAAATAATGATTTCTTTACCACACTAACTAAATAAATAAAGTACAACACTGAACAGAAGTAGGTGCCATATTCTTGCATTAATTTGATATTTACATAAACGTCACAAACAATGAATTGTATTTGAACAAGATTATAGATTCCCGCTTACTTAACTATTCAACTGGATCTCCACGAGACTTTTATTTACAAATCAAACAACATACAGACAAAACATATTAAGTGGTGCAAGATGTTTAGTTAAGGTAAAAAAAAACCACTGCATAAACCGTGTACGAACAATCTTGCTCAACGTCGGATCCAAAAAGATCCTGATCAGTCAAAATAGATAAAATTGAAAACGTTACAGTCCAGGAGACTTTTGCAGGGACTGATCAAACTACGTGAAATAGAGTTAAGTTGCGATATTTCAACTGGCCAATACCAGTCTTCATCAGGTTTATTGAGATATCACGAATTTACAGAAGTATATATGAAGTAAAATAATGACCGGAAATGAGATATTAAAGATAAGATATTAAACTCTATGAAACAACAAATGGCACAAAGATTATCAAAAATGGAACTCCCCGCTTTCTTTGCCTAAGGGAAAGGAACACCTTGTGGTAGTTGCTTTGTTTGCTTGTTTTGGTAAACACAATAGTTATTTTCTATCAAAAATAGCAAAGGAAAGTTCTGTTGAGGGGTCTTGAGGAGATCATGATCAGTTTAGACAAAAATAATCCTATTCTGAAGTTTTCTTTTAACGATTTCTAGGATGCAAAATTTTCTCGGATTCTGGATTTCACAAGTAAAAATTTCCCGGATCCTCTTATAAGGGGGGACTCCGGAATACATGTATATACCATCTTCCGAAAAAATGTAGTAATCTGAAACTGTAACTGTTAGAACTTGACTCCTCTCTGGTATAGATGTCAACAATTTAGATTTCTGTATGACTCTTGGAGTACGGTGTTTGTGAGTAGACTGATTGTTCACCCAGTGCCTTTTTTGGCGTAAAAAAAACTTTACCAGGTGACGAGCGCGAGCGGCTATCTTGGTTCCAAATGTATCGAGGGGGCGGGACCCGGGGTCTACTCCCGCGCCCTATACTCCCTATACTCCCCAGGCTATACTCGGTATATATGAAACCAAGATGGCTGCCCGTTAGGATAGTTGCTCGATCCCATCGAACTTACGGGAAAAATAGGGGGACTGTCAACAGTCTAGGTGTGCGATGTAAAACACAGTGTACTGTAGTTGCATATTCATCAGGTTTTGATACCCTGGAATGATGATACTCATACACATTTCAGACACATTCGCTCGCAGAATTGCACAAAATAGGCATTTATTATGAACGTTAGTGTCCTGACTCATCTACATTAGTTGTTGGATACCTCTATGTACCAGTATATACGTTAAATGCCACAAATCATTGCACTGGATGAAACTTGAACTGTATGAATTTCGTCACAAAACGGTTTTAAAAATGAAAACTTTTAATTGATAAACCTCTGCATAAATACAAAGATTTGGCGAATGGCTCTTACATGTTTTAACACAATACAGTGAAACCTGTCACTAAGCGGACACCCTTGGGGAATGCTGTAGTGTCTGCTTAATACATGGTGTCCGCCTAATACAGGTTTCGATAGATAACGTCATATGAGGTGTCAAATGCCATTCAAATGAACAGTGGAAACGTTTAGAATACTCCCAGAGACTATGACGATATACGTTTGCATTACTTTCTTTACCAAAGTAAACCAATTGTTCATAGTACCATAAACATAGATTGCAACTCAAATTTGAAGAAATCAGATGAGTGAAACAAGCTCTATCCAAACAAAACGAAATAGAAAACAATACTGTACTGTGAAACTAATCAAACGAGTTCGTCAAGTCACTTTTTTAATGTAAAGATCGAAAAATTTGTGCGTGGCAATTCGAGGCAATCTTTCACATTTCCAGTGTCTGGCATGTTGGTTGGTGGAATTTAATTACATGTGTCCGTTTAATACAGGTTGGCAACAATAGAAATGACCATTTTAGATACATTTTAGGTGTCCGCGTCCGCTTAATAAAGGTTTCATTTAAAGAAAATAAGGCAAATAAATTTGGGGACTTCGACTACTGTCCGCTTAATAGAGGGTGTCCGGTTAATACGGTGTCGGCTTAATACAGGTTTCATTGTAGTTAAGAGCATTTTACCCTGTGAGCAATCGAAAAGTGACTCGTACGCTCGTACGCGAGCCCATAGGGCGAGTCAAAATACAAGAGACGAGTAAAAGTATCCCACGATACTACACACCAAACCGTCCAATAAGATATTTCTTTTTTCTTTTTTTTTTTAATAGTAGTTTCGATGAATTCCGCAGTCTTGCTTTTCCTTTGCCATTCAACTGATTTAAGGCTTTGAAAGCATTTGGGTTAGTGACGTGCTGCTTTGCTTGCTTAAGAATATAGACAACGTTTTAAAAGCATTAAATAAATGT